CAGCTTCCAAATTGCTGTGATTTATTTATTTCGGCTGTGATATAGACAAAATGCTATTTTGTTCTAGTTTGCTATCTTTGTTGTTTATTACCATTCGTTGTCTGATTGGAGGATTATTTCTTTGTCCGTATAGGTACATGTTTATCTATATAGTTTTATGTTCCACATCATCTGCGTACTTCTATAAATAATGTATGTTCTCTGTCGGTTTACCAAGAAAACTAGTAATTGGTTTCTTCTTGAGGTATGACATTTTTTTCGCCTTGTTATAATCACCACTTGGTTGTACTTTGTCCGGGACTGATCTACTTATATCCGTGCAGATTCTTCCATAAATAACGGTTTGTAAGTAACATTTTTATCCAGTACAATTTTTTTCATGGCTGCTGTTTTGTTGCCAAGTAATATTATCTTCTCATGTTGTGTAGTTTATCTTCATTTTCTATTTTAAGTCGCTGTATGCAATGGATGAAATCCAATTACGCTCCGAATACGAAAAGGAACCGGCGGCGTTTTTAAGAGTGTCCAATCAGGTCACGAAAGAGCCACATTATCGCGAACTTTACAGCACACTTCTTCGGTTCTTTACAAGTTTCTATATAACTTCACTTGTTTGTATGTACGGTAGGCCACGGAATCACTAGCAACCACGATGTACTTGGTGGCCAAGTTGTCGATTACTGGTGTCGTGTAGAGTTTCTGTGCCGGGAAGTCCTCACTTACTCATGGTCGTGAGGGTTAGAGACCATCCAAACTTTGAAACACAAGGAATGCAAATGAGCGATCGCGTGTGTGTACGTGAAATACCATTTGAAGATTCCGATCTGCGTCAGCTCGTATTGTTGAAATGTCAAACACATCGACATACACACGCACGTATAAGATGCATCATGAATATTCGGCATGCCGCTTCAACTTTCCGCCAAAAGAGTGCACTGAAACTCGCCTGAACGCAAGCGATACAGATGACGGACGAGTCTGTGAATGCATAACAGTCTACCTGTACAATAAAAAAATAGGCGAGACTAAAAAGTGAAAAATAAATTAACTGTAAGAAATATTTTAAAATTAAGCTTTTACTTATAAATGAACTAAAAAGATAAAGATAATTGTACGACTTGTTACAGAATTTGTAAAACTTTTAAGACATGGTCGAACAGTCATAATAAACTTTACTACAAATTAATATTTTTGGTATCAATTTATATTCAGTATATAAAAGCTTGCGCGAATATAATCTATTCACGGTAAAGTGAGCACTTTTGAAAGCCCTCTCATTTGGAATAATAGCAAATGAATATATTATTTTAGCCTTAGACGTTAACTTTCGAGTGCGATGGAATATACACAACGTGTATATTACTTACACGATAATATTGATACCAAAAGGTGGTTCAAGGATAGAACATGGCTAAAACGAAAAAGTAACTAGTGCCTCAAAAGTGCTCACTATACTATGAACAGCCTGTACACAAGATATGTGCTTACTAAGCTTACGCAAACGAGGCATACGTACTATATTGCGCCAAGCTTTTATATACTAAATATAAATTGATAGAAAGATGTTAATTTGTTGTAAAGTTTATTACGGCTGTTCGACCACGTCTTACAAGTTCTACAAATCCTGTAACTACCCCTATAATAATTTCTTTTTAAATTCAATTATTAATAAAGGTTGGTTTTAAAAGGTTTTGTTTTTGGTACCTAAATTCTCAAAACTAACAACAACGCCTAACACTAGCTATCACTGTTTACTTCTTTATGCAGTAGGACCGCGGAGGTGCAGCGGGTAGAACACTACCAAGGCCAACTTCTCGGCGGAGTCACCCACAGATTTTCGCAAGTAGGAATCGTGCCGGACAATGTCGTAGTTCGGCGGGTTTTCTCGGGGATCTCCAAGTTTCCTCCGCCCTTGCATTCCGGCGCCGCTCCATTTTCAATTCAATAATCCTCTTCGGCTCTCAAGACATCGTTGTTAAGAGCCGCCCAAATCTCTTCACTAACGTAACTCTAAGGGCGACTCTTGCTCACTCACCACTCGCCTCATCAGCCTCTACGCACAAACTGGCGTGCAATGTTTCCCTCGGGCGTGCCTTTAAGAGGCAACCCTATATTTTTATGGCACGCTAAAAACACCAAAGTATTGCGCGTGTCTAGAGATAACTATGAAGTTCCTGTAAAAATAAATAACTAAATTTGATTCTGAAAACGCTCACTACACAAAATAATTCTTGGAGTTTAAATGAGTATTTGAAACTTGTCTTCGGGCACGAAAGGATTTTTAAATTATTTTAGTGTTTTAGAACAACTATAGGCCATTCCAGGTTACTTCCAATTTTTCTGAAGCCCTGATAAAAATATACTCCCAAAATATTCCTCCACTTCCTACAAACAAAGCTTAACCGAATCTAGAAGATCACACCGAAGGGACAACGCACTTCATTCATGCCTTGCACTCAGTGTAATAAAGTTCTGCGTAAGAACTGTTTCTCACTAGGCACTACCAACACAACTACTTTCTTACTAGGCACTACCACCACACCTACTTTCTTACTAGGCACTACCACCACACCTACTTTCTCACTAGGCACTACCAACACACCTACTTTCTCACTAGGCACTACCACCACACCTACTTTCTCACTAGGCACTACCACCACACCTACTTTCTTACTAGGCACTACCAACACACCTACTTTCTTACTAGGCACTACCAACACACCTACTTTCTTACTAGGCCCTACCAACACACCTACTTTCTTACTAGGCACTACCAACACACCTACTTTCTTACTAGGCACTACCACCACACCTACTTTCTTACTAGGCACTACCAACACACCTACTTTCTTACTAGGCACTACCACCACACCTACTTTCTCACTAGGCACTACCACCACACCTACTTTCTCACTGGGCACTACCACCACACCTACTTTCTCACTGGGCACTACCAACACACCTACTTTCTTACTGGGCACTACCAACACACCTACTTTCTTACTAGGCACTACCACCACACCTACGTTCTTACTAGGCACTACCAACACACCTACTTTCTTACTGGGCACTACCAACACACCTACTTTCTTACTGGGCACTACCAACACACCTACTTTCTTACTAGGCACTACCAACACACCTACTTTCTTACTAGGCACTACCACCACACCTACTTTCTCACTAGGCACTACCACCACACCTACTTTCTTACTAGGCACTACCACCACACCTACTTTCTTACTAGGCACTACCAACACACCTACTTTCTTACTAGGCACTACCAACACACCTACTTTCTTACTAGGCACTACCACCACACCTACTTTCTTACTAGGCACTACCACCACACCTACTTTCTTACTAGGCACTACCACCACACCTACTTTCTTACTAGGCACTACCACCACACCTACTTTCTCACTGGGCACTACCAACACACCTACTTTCTTACTAGGCACTACCAACACACCTACTTTCTTACTAGCCACTACCAACACACCTACTTTCTTACTAGGCACTACCAATACACCTACTTTCTTACTAGGCACTACCAACACACTTACTTTATACATGTTACCATCCATATTAAATATAAATCGCATACAATATTTTATAGATAATATATCTAGAAGTTAAATTTAATCAAGTATAAAGTACTTTTATGTTAACTAAAACGCTTGTGATGCGTGTAGCCATATTTAGGAAAGAGCCAAGCAAGTTTTACAGGAGGAGATTTTTCACAAAGGTTTGATTTTTAAAGGCGTGAATAAACCGCGAATAGACTATACAAAGTATTCGAAGGTTTTTTTTACTACGTAATTTTTATCAAACTTCTGCAACGGACTTCACGAGATAACCAGACGGAGCTCTTAATATTATCACGTGGCTGTGATAAGAATATTGTAAAACAAGCGCACATTGTTATGCACATCTTAGTTTGTTCTGTACGAACGGGAAGTAAATAGGCGCTATCACTTACAACTCGCAGCGAGAACTACGCTCTGAGACGTAAGCATATCTTTGTAAGCATATCCTGCGCGGTGCAGCGTGGAACAAAGGCAAAAACAAACAAGATGGATGGCATTAAGCCATACACTTGACCGTCACGTAAGGAAGTTCAACAGTTCCAGCTTCGTCTAATTACGTTCCCCCTCAGCTGGCATGCTTGAAGGCCAACTGAGAACAAGAGTCTGCAGATAAGCTATCGTATGCAAAACACTGAGTATGAATGTTATATTAATTAAGGGTGTTCCTCATTTTGACAACATAAAGTTTACACTTACTGTTTCATACTCCACGCAGGGCTACCAACAATGGTAGGGGAGGGGGGAGTGGGTACATGGGCCAATATGGCTGTCAGCCATGTTTGTTGCTTTCACACGGAGAAGAAAGCATAGCTGTAGCAACCGTCTAAGACTGTTAAAATGGGGACAGCCATCTTATAAATATTGTTGACATAGATAGTAATACCAACAGAACAGTTAGTTTGTGTTCCTGTATGTAATTGTTAGTCGCTAGTTGCCATAACACTGCATTCCCACTACAAAAGAGAACAACTTCAACAATGTTTGACTTGTTACCGCAACAATCAGAATTGTAATAACCTAACAGAATGTTATGTTGCTAGTAATAAACATTCGGACTTTGAGGTTAGTAGCAACAGAATATTTTGTTATGATATTACAATCCCAGTTGTCGTGGTAACAATCCAAATATTGTTGAAGTTGTTATGTTGGTTGCAGTTAGTATCTGTTTTGTAGTAGGAACGCAGTGTTTTGCTGTGGCAACCATGTGTATAATAAGTAGGAAACAAACTCGCATACAGGAATACAACTAAAAGTTATGTAATATCTTAATATTTAGAAGGTACCTATGCAACCCATCAGATGGCTGTCACTATTTCCAGAGTCTAGATGGTTTTTACAACCACGTGTTTTCCTTCAGTGTAAAGACAATGCGACATACATCAGTTTCGAAGCAACAATGGTAACGCTGGACCAACGGTTAGCTAAGTTGGTAGGTCATTCGCCTCGCACTTGTAGAGTCCCTGGTTCGAACCCAGGCCCCGTAGGGCCTGGATGTTCTCATGCGAGAAGTGTTGTAGACTGACTTGTCCTAACTACATGTACCTTTATTATCAGTGAATAACTTTTGCAAGCTACTTTGTTTTGATAGAGTACTTGTGCATTTCAATGTTGTTTTACGTATGTGTTATATGGACTTGTTATCTATTGTCTGATATGTTATATAGCCAGATAAACAAGTGTTAAAAATATATAACATACTTTTTCTAAAACGAAAACTAATACAAATAAATATTGGGGAAATAGACTTTACTTATTAGTCAGAAAATTCATATAGTTTACCGCCCTAATAAAAATAATACATGTAACGAGACATTTAATAGAAATACTCTCAAAGTAGTAATTTACTTGTATATAGAAAATTATTATCTCAAATAGTTTAAAAGTTGTTCGTAAATAGAGACACGTTAATAAATTGACAATGGTGCATATTACAAAGAAATAACTGAGATATTATTTAAGAAACAAATGGTGACATAATTAAAAATAAAATTGTCGCATAAGAAAATTTTAGAGGCATACTTTAAAAACTTAATGTCGTATTTAAAAGCGCGTGTAAAAATGGCAGTGAAGTATTCAAAATGGCACAGCCTCCAACCCAATCTCGTACATACTGAAGCTGGCTGATTAGCGAACAGCGTTTCAACATGTGGCTGGCTAGAGACGCCATTTTACTGGCAAGTGCGGCTGGAATAAGCGGCCGGCCTTCTCACCTGTTTATTAATGAAGTAGGTTACTCTGTGGCAAGGATACGTGAGAAAAAAGGACGTGGAACGAGCTGAAGATTCAGGATGAATTTGGCCTTGCAACAGCTAGTTTAAAATTAAAGAGGCAGGCCGTAAACTTTAAAACTATTCACTTCAACCAAAATGCTAATTCAAATAGTTGTTCTAGCTAGCTTCTTATTTCTATGGTTAGCTGCCACACAGTTATTATAAAATATTCTTATTTCACTTTAGTATTCCAATTTTATGTAAATTTTATATCTCTAGAGAAAAATAATAATATTGTAAATCTGAAAGACCAGGAAATAATATAAGCAAATGACTTGGATTAAAAGGTATTGTAAGGTTTCTTTCTTTTTGGATAAAATAATTATATTCAAAATATTTTTACTGATTTGAAATTAGAAGTTCCTCTGGTGAATATTTAAAATAGATAAAAATTTCAAATTACAACAAAATACAGTGTCAATGCTAATGGTGAAAATTCTGCATCGAACAACTCTAGCATTCATCCATGACTTTATCAGTAATGGAGCGAACAACTCTAGCATTCATCCATGACTTTATCAGTAATGGAGCGAACAACTCTAGCATTCATCCATGACTTTATCAGTAATGGAGCGAACAACACTAGTATAAGGGCCACTTCAACTTCGTCGCTCATCCAGTTTTACTGATAACAGGGTCGCAGAGGACTTATCTGTCGCTGCAACTTCAGGAATTATCTCTCTCTCTCTCTCTCTCTCTCACTTGATGGAACCTCGCGAAGCACATCGTCTCTGCTTCGTCGTCGATCCGCCGCAGAATGGTCCTGGTTGTACAGCAGCTCACCAGTTGACTCTGGAATCCTCGATGAGATGGGACTTCCCGCCGTCAGGAATATCTTCTTTACAATCTTGTATATCGTTGTTTATTATACAGAGTCTTCTTCAAAACTGATCTGCAAACTAAATTATCTTGCAAATTTCGCGTATTTATAATTATCTTCTTGTTGTGGAAATAACACGTTTCGTTTATACGTTACAATAATTAATTATTATCTTCCTTTTCAACATAACTCAGACTTTATACAATGAGATATCTCCTCAATATTCTTGCAGAACTTTCTTTTGACGAACCTTTTTCCTTCGTTTCTGTTCCCCCCCCCCCCCCCAAAAAAAAACAATCTTTCTTTTCAAACAGTCATGTTATTCGCCCCTATCAACCAGTGTTTATTAATCCTGCGAGCAAGGTGTATGTTTAGACATAGACAAACACATTAACAAAACATTAAATCATCTCCAAGAAATATTATAATACTTTTAAAACCTATCTGAATATCATAAATTAACATAGTGCAAAAAGAAAGAAAATATTAAAATTAAAATTAAATCATGCCTTAAAACAGAGCAAAGAAAAGCCAGTTATAGACTTTTCTTCAAACATGGAAACGTTACAACACACAAACTAGAATGAAGTGAAAATAAAAAGAAACTTTTCTGTTGCAAATCAACGACATAACTTTACTATAAAAAACACGTTACACGTTTCAATTTTAAATATTTATTATATTTGATAAATAGTACGTTACTGCACAGGCATTACTATTAAAGAAAACTGACGATTCCATATCCAAAAACCAATGGTTACGAAAACTTATATCATATAACCAAATCTAGGATTCCTACTGGCTACACGGATCGACATACATGGAAGAGATGACAATTACCCAACTTTCTTACGTCCTTGGGATACCATTTGGAGACTGAAAACGCTAAGTATTACGTTGTCAACCGATGGAGAATATGGATTACCGGTGTTAAATTAAGTATGTAATTATGGTTGCTGCTTCGTAGTACTTCATGTGGCAAGGTAGTTACACTTGTAAAAGTTCAACTAAATCGTAAAATAGTTTTCAGTTGACTTCTTAAACTGCAACGAGAATTTATAACTTATCAACAGCAAACTGTGCTACAAATGTAGAAGTGTTGAAGTTTGGTCAGCTCTTAACATCGAGGTCTTGGGAGCCGACAAGGGTGAGGCGAGATGAGCATGGAGCAACGGAATTCAAGGGCGGGGGAAACGGGATATCCCGGAGAAAACCCGCCGACCAGCGGTATCGTCTAGCACGATCCCCGCTGGCGAAAATCCGGGATCGACGCCGCTAGGTGGGAGGTGAGTGGTCTAACCACTACACCGTAGCGGCACCCTCTAATACGAGTGTTTCACAGTTATGTTTGGGACACATCATAGGGTCAAGCAGCATTATTTTGTCTTTATTATTACACCGTAACATGACACTGTCACCACTGAAGGTTTCACGAGGCAAGTCGACGAGAGAAGGTACTATACACTTGCGCGTAAAGCTGACCAGATATTCGATGCGTATGCCTGAATCGCCCTTGGCGCTTCCGCGTTTCTAGGACTCGCACATGCAAAATACCTCCAGGCAAGTTTATAAATAAATAACCACGACAAGTTAATAAGTAGTCGTGACGTGTAAATGAGTATAAACACCGCCTTGCGCAATAGCTGGTGCTGGGAAGAACTTCACTCGCAGCCCATTATCTTCACGTTTATTACCCAGTAGAAACAGTCTTGCCAAGGCTGGAGGAGATGAGATAGTGTGTTGGAACTCTCAAACCACTGCTGTCATCGTCACAGACAGGGGACACGCTTCACCGCAGTTTCTACGTTATCCGCTAACTTCTTCTGGAATATGAGTGAGTGAGAACATTTGGGCGACTCTTAACAACGAGGTTATTGAGAGCCGATAAGGGTGATTGAGATGAGTATGGAGCTGCGCCGGAATGGAAGGGCGGGGAAAACCCGCCAACCAGCGGCATCATCCGGCACGATTTACACATGCGAAAATCGGTGAGTGGCCCGGCCTGGGAGTGAACCCAGTTCACCGTGGTGGGAGAGACGAGCAGTCTGACCGCTCAGCCACCGCGGCCCCTCTTTTTGGAAGCTGTGCTTAAGGGCGCCACCAACATGAAGATTTTTAGTGCTTTTGAGGCCTTGTTCCGATTGGCATTTTTTTGTTAACGAAATGGTCACGTGACCAGTTTGGCTACAAAATCAATTACGTATTACTGTAATTTGTGTTTTGCCTTTTGTCAGATTCGAAGCTGACAATTTATAAAAATCCCAATTACCAAACCATCGCCATATTTGTTTTGCCTGTTTGAAATGATTAAATACACTTATAGAAGAGATTATTGGGAAAAAATGTGTCCCGTACTCATAATATTTATTTCACAAAGCTAGTTGCTGAAATATTCTTTAAATAGGTATTTTCTCATTACGAAATTTTTCTAAAGTAACAATTCAGCATCAGATTGGTTTTATTTTGTTAATTGAAATTTTAAAAGGCCCTCGGAAAATTTTCGGGGATAAGTACTGTTCATTTTTAGATTTCGTGGACTTTCAATCTTGCAATCATGATAACAACGAAATAATAGTAGCACGGCGTGCTAGACAGTTGACTGTCGAGGTGATCCAACTAAACCTTACAGAATGCCAAATACAAATGACGAGAAACTAAAATAGAAACGAATTGGAACATGGGCCTGCGGCTCTGAAGCAAGCAAGCGATAAGGCCGACAATGCCATGCGTACCTAGTGCACCATCACTCCTAAGCGCAAAGCGCTGAACTGACGTGCGGTGTTTTAGTCGTGCTACGTTTACCTATGGGACTTAAGTTATTTTATTGGTGGAAAGTGTGCAGCAAAGTTCAATGCAAGTCCCTATAACAGTTTCGCATGTTTCCGACCAGTATATAACGAGATATAGGCGAGTGGAAAAGCCGTATTTAGTTATGTTGGAGGGCTCGGAAATAGCATAAATAATAATGTGTATGATGTATTGAGAGTATTATACGTATATTATCTAAAAAGTGTTTCTTTTTCGTACGTTGGTATTGTGGGAACACGTTTACTAATTTCGTAAAAAAAAAAACGCGGATTTCAAACACACTGCGCAACGCAATTGAAGCTCCAGCTAGGCGGCTCCCTTAAGGCCATATTTCGCGATGATTCTCTAAATCGCTCTCTGAAAGAAATTTACACAAGGACCACATAAATGTAAATATCTGACATTTCTTCGTTTCTGCAGTAAAACTTTTCCTCCATTTTAAATACACAACTTTGTTGAAAATCTTATATTCTACACTGATTGGTTGCTGCCCCATGCACCTGCACAAGAAATGAATTATAAGAGTTTACTTTACGCACCTAGTCGGAAAGTCCTACGCACACGACCTGTTATGTACAGTTGTGAACC